CAAAGCAGGTACAGAAGCTCAAATACAACTGCCATTCAGACAGCTACTACTGGCTACTCTGGCCTGTGGGATGTCTGAATGACACAGAAAAAGAAGATAACGTGTTGCTGAGGCTTTGGGCAAAAAAGACAGTGGCGAAGGAAAACAGTTCTTGTGAAGGAGACACGCAATGGAAATTGTGAGTGCCTGACACTAGCACAACTGAACGGTGTGGAGAAAGAAAAGCATACCTGTCCACCAGACTGGCTGCCTCCTGAAGAAAAGCCCTGGAAAAAATGAGTAACTAATTATTTCTATGTTGCTGAGTAACATTCTTACTTGTTCTCTGTGGTCCTTAGTCTTTCAAATTGCTTCCATTTAAACATAACAACAAAAATGGGCTTCTTAGAACCACGATCTGTTTAAGGAAGCATTTCCATGTAGTCACAGAGGCACCTGTATCATTTGCTCGTATCATGACCTGACGTACCAGACAGACCCATCCTTAGCAATCCTCAGTTTGGCTTAAAGTTATTCTTTCTTAGAATGTTCCTTTTTTGCAAAAACTACAGGTCAGTTTTCCTAATGAACTGTGTACCAAAACTGCAAATACTATGAAAGAAGAAGTTTTACCTGTCCACTATACTGGCTGCTTCCTGAAGAAGCTATACCCTAAAGAAATGAGAAAGCCATTTATATTTGTTGCATATTCTTTAACTTTCAATCTGCATGAAATGTGTAAGAAGAAAAATGTTTAGCACCAAAGCAGGTACAGAAGCTCAAATACAACTGCCATTCAGACAGCTACTACTGGCTACTCTGGCCTGTGGGATGTCTGAATGACACAGAAAAAGAAGATAACGTGTTGCTGAGGCTTTGGGCAAAAAGGACAGTGGCGAAGGAAAACAGTTCTTGTGAAGGAGACACGCAATGGAAATTGTGAGTGCCTGACACTAGCACAACTGAACGGTGTGGAGAAAGAAAAACATACCTGTCCACCAGACTGGCTGCCTCCTGAAGAATTTGAACCCTGTAAATGTTATATTTTTATTTAAAAGATTTTCTTAAAGTTTGACATATATATTTGATTACAATGTATTGTCTTTTACTCTCTAAACTATGTTTGAAATGATCTATCTGGTTAAGAACCCAATTTTATCTATAGAAAGATTAATAAGATTAAAAAAAAACCCCAGTAGTCTGGAAACTTAGGTATTACCAACCTGGTAATATTTTCTTGAAATATGTACATTGGGAAAAAAAACAACACTGAAGAAAAATTTCCCACCTGCCCACCATACTGGTTGCTTCCGGATGAGGTTGAGTCCTGAAAAAAATAAAGTTCACTTAATTTATATTTAAAAAATATAAATTAATACCAAATATTTATGACTTTTATTTGTTTCCTGGTGTTAGAACATCAGTTAATACATTAATTGTATTTTGACCACTCTGCTTACACTTGGACTTTTACATAGAGATATATAAGGAAAAGGTGTTTGAGTACCAAATGAATCTTGCTCCCAGATAAAAAATTGCTGTAATACAATACGAGGACTCAAGCTTTTGTATAACAGATACTTCAGGTCAAAAATACAAAGAGTTAGTATTTACCTGTCCACTGGAGTAGCCACCACCTTGAGAAGATGATCCCTGCAAAAAGTAGACCCAATTTATTTTTGCTTAAAATGGCTTCTGGAAAACAAGGTTTTGTTGTTAAAATGTCATCCACCCTTTTTTTTTTTTTTAAAAAACAGTTTGCCAGTTGGTTTCACAAGACATGATGCCAAATGTCATGAGAAATTCTAGGAGACAAACAGTTGGGTATAATTTACTCATCTGGATAATTTTTAAATATAACAGCCATTTTGGAAGGGAACCGCAAATAATGAATAAAATAGATGCTTACATGTCCACCTGACTGGCTGCCTCCTGGGGAATAAAAATCCTGGAAAAATGTATTGAAATTACATGAAAAAAACCAAAAACTTCCTTTCTTTTATAGTATGGAAAAATCAGGATGGAAGCTGAACACTCTTCCTTACTTCTCCACATTCCTTAATTTTCTCCCATGGATTGTTCAAGAACAACAAGTATAAAACAGCACATGCCCCTTTATGCCTGTTGATAATTGATCATTTGGTGTTCTTATATCTCCAATAAAATAATTTCTCAATCTGTGTCATTTAATTCTCATTAGAATAAATAAAATGGGTGCCGTGTAAAAATGACAGGAAAATGAAGCCCTCATAAGTAAGTCATACAGCACAACAAAGCACAGGGTTTCACTTAGAATAAATGCTGTACAAATCATAGTATTGAAGCCTTCTGCAGTCAAGCAATGACTAAAAAAGCGCAGGAACCTGAACAAGTAAATTGTGGTACCGTGTTTGTAATGTGAGTTTGAGATTCAAGAGCACACCTCAGCATCAGTTGGGATTTTTAGCAGTACTTTAACACTTTAGCCATATCCTCATTCCCTCTGTGCTTGAGGACTTTCTACCCCACACTGGAAGCTGCCACACCAGCTTCCACACAAGATGTAATTTAGGTGGCTAGCAGTTGCCAAGCACTGGGGCAGACACCCTGGCAACATGGAAGGAAGGAGTGCTTACCCGTTCACTCTGCTGGCTGCCAGATGACGAGGTGGAATCCTAAAAAATATTAGAATCTAGTTATTGCATGGCAAATATTTCTTTTTTTTTTCTAAGCAAGGGTGGAAGGCAAAGAAAACTACTGCTTGTTTGCGTGACTTGTTGGGAAGGTTAAAGATGTAGGCTGTAGGATAAGCAGCATTCTTTCAAGTTCTTTCTCTGCTCATTTCTGCAGAATGGCATTTCTTTGTTTGGAAAGCTGAATCCTCATATAGCATAATAAAGGGATGAGATCACATCTCAATCTATATTATTTCCTCTTAGAATGCTATAGGGGAAAACTTCACCACTTTAAAAGCTGTCTTGGTTCTTGTAAGACCTCAGTGGTACACACCAATGTTGGTATACCTTAGTTTCTTTCAGAGGGCCTTGGGGCCCTCTGTAGTATCATATTCTAGCTTTGCTGAACATCCACAAGAAGATTTTGATACAGAAACTGCATGGAAACTAATGACACACTATACTTGTGGCTGAAGTGCACAGCTAAATTTATAAAAACTTGTGGAGAACAAATTTCCTATTAACCAGGACACTGGAAAATAGACTTATTAGAAATCCAGTTAAAGTACAATCAATTACTCAAGACTGACAAAATGAGACATTAAACTTGGAAAGTTTTATAAACAGCTTCACCAGAATTAATAGGAAATATACTTTAGTCAGGAGGAAAGGTATGTTCTTAAAGAGAAAAGCAAACCGTTCTCACCACACTACATGAAAACAGACCATTCTTATGCAATATATAGATGAAGGAACTTGAATCTTGTATGTCTGGCATTGGAAAAACACAGATGAAGTGTAGTGTGAATTGGAGATGGAAAGAGAGGGAACTAGTCTGTGCAGTATTGAAAAGGGAAGTTGCATTGTAGAAAAAGAATAAAATGAGATAATGATTAAGGGTCAAATACGATGTGTTTTCTCAAAAAAACAAGGAAAAGTTGAATTTTAAAATAAACCTGTATTTTAAGAGCAATTAAGTTTGAAAGTCTTAATTTGTGGGAATTGTTATGAGAGTCCAGAATAGTAAACATAATATGGAATATACTCTTAAGGAAATAAATCACAAAAAACAACCATTAAGAACAAGAATGGCTGATCTGACATATTGATAGTACTGTACTTGTAGTTAAAATAGTGTTATTGTATTAAATTAACTCATTGAAAAAGTAGCCAAATTAAATTGCTGGAAGTAAGAAGTATCTGGTTGTTTTGTATACCATGAGCATATACTAACATTGAGTTTCGATGGAAATCATGAAATAAAGGAGAAGAGCTTTCTTTGTAAATGCTGCTTCTAATAACCAATTCAAAAAATGTACGATTGTTACAAGTCAGAACTGTTGTAACTGCAATTTTAATTTGCCAAGTCCTTATCATACCATAGCAGAATAATGTGACATAATTTAAATCCACATTTTCCTTTATCAATAGAAACAGTGTCATTTCAAAGAAGTTATTGCAGAAAATTACTAAACAACATAGATGTTGAGAATGTACTGTGAAGGAGCTCTTGAAGATAAGATGATGAGATAAGGTAAAGGTCCATGTAAGCACCTAGATACTTTAAAAGGCAGTAAATTCCGATATTGATATACTTGAGAAGAAATGCTTACACTGTCATCAGTTTCACTGCCTCCTATAGGAAGTGAATCCTGTAAAATAATGGAAAAGCACTTATTTTCATATAGAAAGGACTCTTACATGATCTTACTTGTGGAGGATATAAAATAGAAGAATAAAAATAACCAGCCACTTAGAATCTCCAACTTTACCTAAACCAGGGAATGTGCAAGAAAAGAAAAAATACTTAACTTTATCTGTTGCTTAAGCAGAAGAGGTTAAAAAACCCCCCCTCCTTATAAACATGCATTTTTATAAGGAGAAATTTTAGATAAAGTTGATTTGCAAAATTAACCATTCTTTACATTCAATCTATGCTTTCTTTCCAGATCCTGCACTAGAAGTAGCAACACGACACAGTTTTCTATGAAAAAGCAATCTAGATTATATGTCTTATTATTTTTAATAAATAATTCTATATGAATGCGGCTGGTTAAAACATATTGCTAAACAAAACATAAGATGGTCCCTACAGAATGATCCCACAATGAGATTCACATCAATAAATAGAGACTTCAAATATAGTATGTGCATTCCCCTAGACTTTCAACAGCTTCTGCATAAGTAAGGCATGTAAAGTAAATGCACAAAATATTTTCCTTCTGAATGAGCTAATGCATAAACGACAAAGTAGTTAAAGCATTGAATAGTCACAGTGGCAGAGTTAGCAGGATAGTGTATATAGTGCATCACCTTCCCTCCATTATGGAAACATTTGGAGTTGTAAAGGGGTAAATAAAAGTAAAGAGAAACAAAAGGTAAAATGGCATTTCCATGGTCATCGCTTAAAAATCATTGAAATATAGAACCCAGTACACATAAGAACCAACACAGCAAGCTGAAGCTTTTGATGTATGAGGCAAATAATATTTACCTGACCATAAGATCCAGCACCACTATATGTAGAAGATCCAGCACCACTATATGTCGAAGATCCACCCTATTCAGAAAACATAAATCATTTTCATATTGCAAACAGAGTTGGTTTTTTTTGGATGCTTACTGTAGGGATCCCCTTCCGGGGAGATTTAAAAAATATGAATATTTACTTAGTTATCAGAATGGCTATTGACCAACTCATAGTTATGTCCCTGTAAAACAATAATTTAACAAATTTTTAACTCAAATTCTATTTCCACTTTTGAAGAGACCTTCATCTTGTAGATAATTCAAGGCTAGCATGTTGAGCAGAATAAACTTTAACGGTTGGAGGCACCCCACGTTTTACTCCCCTATAAACTTTCAGGCTACTTAGTTAAAAGTATATGCAAATTCACTCCGCAAAGAAAAAGAAAACCCACATTCATGAAAATATAGAGAGAGCCAAAATACAGAATATAGCTGTATACAGGAGCTAGGGTATTGGCCCTCATTACCTTTTATACAAAGATTAAAAAAAAGGAGTATTTACCTGACCATAGGATTCACTGCTGCTGTCATAGACAGAAGACCCTCCCTGTACAGAAAACAAAAAAAGTTTATTATTTTGGTTCCCTCAAGAAAGTTTTCCTTCTTTCAAGGGCAGTATAGGAATGAAAATAACAGAAGTCTGTCTTATCTTTACAAACGAGGAAGAACACTTACCTGTCCGTAAGATCCACCAGGATAGAAGGAAGACCCTCCCTGTACAGAAAACAAAAAAATTTACTGTTTTGTAGTTGAAATGTTCTCTCAAGGAAGACTTCTAGACTGCTCCTGTGCAGGCACAGTGTGACCAGAAAATTTACCTGGTTACCTGGGCCCTCCTGAAAGGAAAACACTGACCAGCTATTTTCTTGCAGACAAAATGAATATTTAAATACCAGCGTATCCGGTTCTCACTTTACACCCTTTCTCCCAGTTTTGAGCTAACTTTTATGTATCTAAATAAAAATCAAGACCAATATTGTTGAAGTGGAAGAAATCTTCTGGCGGTAATTTTCTTAGCCTGCTGAAATTTGAATTCTCTAAGGAAAGTGCAGATACCATTCTGTACTGTTCTCTGTCAAGCTTCACACCACTGGGTTACATCAGGGTTAATTAAAGTTTTCTACTCTAAGAGACAACTGGTCAGGTCTGTAATTATAGCATGTCATGGCACCCACAATATCAGGAGTGGAGGAACCAGGATGATGGGAGTTTGTGTTACCCTGGTAAGGGAGGGAGAACAACTACCTGTCCATAGGATCCTCCGGGATAGAAGGCAGGCCCTCCCTGTGCAGAAGACAGAATGGGTTACTGGTTTATATTTGGCTGCTCCTTCAGGGAAGGTTTTAGGTGGAGCTTCTGAATAGGGCATTTTATCTGAATGTTTACCTGGTTACCAGAATATGTGCTGTGTGAAGAACCTGGGGCTCCCTGAAATGAAAACACAGACTAGCTATTTTCTTGCAAACAGGATGGCGTAAATAGCAATGTACTGACTCTCACTTTAGGCCAATATTGTTAAAGAGCAAGGAACTTTCTATCACTAATTTTCTTAGCTGGATGAAAGATCATTCCATGGGAGTTGTAAACACAATTTGGTCTTTTCCTCTGACAGACTTCATGTTGTAAGTTACAAACGGTTGATTCAATTCTTGGGTGTTATATTTCACAACAGCCACTACATGGGGAATATAGGAATGAAGATAACAGAAGTCTGTCTTATCTTTACGAATGAGGAAGGACACTTACCTGTCCGTAAGATCCACCAGGATAGAAGGAAGACCCTCCCTGTACAGAAAACATAAAAAAAAATCAAGACCAATATTGTTGAAGTGGAAGAAATCTTCTGGCGGTAATTTTCTTAGCCTGCTGAAATTTGAATTCTCTAAGGAAAGTGCAGATACCATTCTGTACTGTTCTCTGTCAAGCTTCACACCACTGGGTTACATCAGGGTTAATTAAAGTTTTCTACTCTAAGAGACAACTGGTCAGGTCTGTAATTATAGCATGTCATGGCACCCACAATATCAGGAGTGGAGGAACCAGGATGATGGGAGTTTGTGTTACCCTGGTAAGGGAGGGAGAACAACTACCTGTCCATAGGATCCTCCGGGATAGAAGGCAGGCCCTCCCTGTGCAGAAGACAGAATGGGTTACTGGTTTATATTTGGCTGCTCCTTCAGGGAAGGTTTTAGGTGGAGCTTCTGAATAGGGCATTTTATCTGAATGTTTACCTGGTTACCAGAATATGTGCTGTGTGAAGAACCTGGGGCTCCCTGAAATGAAAACACAGACTAGCTATTTTCTTGCAAACAGACATTTGAGTAAGTGAGTCCATTTCTGAATTTCTATTCTTTCAAAATATAACTTTCAAAAAGGACATTACTGCAATCATGATAAGAGAATACAAGTTATTTTTGTTAGAGATAAGGAAACCTTTAGCAGGTACTTTTCTTTTCAGGTTAAAAAACCTGAAAGAAAGAGTAACTTTCATTTTAATCTTTCTAATCACAGAATCCTATGTCATACCTGGCAGACTCTGTGTTGTTATAGATGATCATGACCCTGATTGTGTTTTTTTAAAAACTGCCATAATCCTGAACTTCCAAAGAGCAAATAAGGTTTAGGAGAGTGGATTTTCC